TATATAGTATAATAAATAATTATCATCGTTATGAAATAAAAATAATTACAAAATAATAATAATGATTAAAGAAAATTAATTTACACTAAATATTGCTGCCATTCTGTCCGATCTAAACCGTTTACCCTTACAGTATTAAATCTAAAAAATCCTTGTTTCTTCACATTTAATTGAATTATACTTTGTGGACTCCAAGCGCCATTAGAATTAATATAAGACGGTCCATAATGTATTTCACTAGTGATTTATAGAAGAATAGATTGATATTAATAATGTTTAATAATAAAATTTACAAATTAACCATTGTCACACCTTATACTGTTACCACTCCAATCAATGACACTTCCCCACTCTTCATAATTTCCAGTGTCAGTTTTCACATAATTTACTAGAATAAAATGTTTTTTTAAAAGATATACTTTAATAGGGTTCACTGGGGTTCCGTATGAGTCATTAAATATACAAAAATTCACGGGATCAATGTTCATATTGGAACTAATTTCTTTAATTTTTCCAGTTGATTGAATAACTCTTAGTCGTAATACATTTTCGAAAATCGATGTGCAATTGAGTGAATTGTATATTGGTATTTTACTTTTTTGCTTTTGTGGATCGCTTTGCCGTGCAACGCTGACAAGAATTGCCCCGTCATCATAAGCTTGAACGTTTACTACTTGTGGCGCACTATCGGGAGATGTAGTACCTGACGTACTTTCTGTATAGTTAATGTATGAGAGTTTAAGGGAAGTTGTATCTGATTTTAATGATGCTATGAGAATACAAAGGGATGTTAAGAATAAATAAAATTTATAATGATAATTAGATAATTTCATCATTGGTTACTATTAATTTTTGTGTATCGTACTAAGAAAGTTATGCATTAGAGTCAAATATTCGCATATATGTAGATGTATATATATATAATGGCGAGCACTATTAATAAATAGATTAGTACATAATTGGTGCATTTTGAAATTCTCTATAAAAAACTGTTATATTTTAAGAAACTTAAGATAATACTGTATTGCTGGTGTATAAATGGCCTTATAAAAGGCACCCTTACGATAAATAGGGCCATATACCGCTGCCTATAAAATTATGCATTCTTGCATATATGGCTGTAAATTTACATTAAATTTCAAATTTTGATGTAACTTACAAGCAATTTTTATATGTTTACCTAATCAAAATTTTCAGAATCAAGCAAATTATTATGAAAGTTATTGTGTAAGTTTACAATCTTCTTGCATAGTACATACGTACGTACGTACATCTACATGCATATTGATATTCGTGCGTTGTAACCGTTTTAACCAGTCAGGTATTTTACGCGATATAGTGGTCCTTAAAGCGGGGCAGATCACTTGTTATGCCGTTTTTTCATTAACATTAAGGTCACTTTGGGTTAGGGATTAGAGGTGTTTAGTATAAGTAAAATTACCTTCCCTTGTTTTGCTTCGTCGGGCTGATCCGGGTTTATCAAAATTTGACGATCCGATTGGCTAATTAAAGGGACC